TGTCGGAGCCAATCGATACCAAACATTTACATATGTGACCCCGTTCCCAGACAAAGGGCGCCGGGCATTTGTCAGATATTATTTGCGTCAATGGCTATGGAACCCTGTGGTGGAAATAGTCGGATCTAGATTTTCGACAAGAGGCCTCTTTTTGAACCGTGGCTCATGCCGAAACCGTCGGTGATTTTCCACGTGGAGCTCGCGTCGTAATTATTGATTCGGAACCCGGAGCTCGTTTTTTCCCACCACTATCGGCACGCTTACGCGTACCGCGTCGCGCAACTGACACACGTCTCGCACCAGCAACGGTAAGGCATCATCACCTACCTGAATTCCACCGGACGCACCTGTGTAGACAATCAACGGCCCGGACCTACATCACCCGTGCATCAGTGTAACGTACGGCCGTGACCCCCCTTCCTGTGCGCATTGTAAAGCCGTTGCCTGGAAGTTGGGGTTCGATGCACCTACAGCAAGCGGAAGTGGCACCAGCCTGGGGCTGGGCACCAGCAGCAGCTGCACCATCTACGTGGTACTGTTGCCATGCAATCGACGGACGCATCATCCGGCGAATTGCTGGCCTGCGGCATGCTACGTGTACCTCTTAAGAGGTTCGTCGTCATTATTTGCCACTCGTGATTGTTTGGACAGCAGTAGAAAAAAAAAAGGACATCTTGAGCTTGTGTCACACAAACTGTGTGTGCAACACGCATTCAAGCTTCATAGTAGTATTTAGGATAGGTGGGTGTAGGAAAGAGAAGAATGAAACATTCTGAAATTGCTGCTCATTGACATTGGCAAATACCACACTTGAGTGAGCTTCACAACCTCCAAACACACGTTTGACGTAGGGTACGTCGAAGCCGCAGGTACGAGATGAAGGAGAACAATGGTGTTCTCGACGTCGAAGAGGCGTCCACGTCGTGCGTGTCATATCGGTCGAGAGCTTTTTGCACAATCTTACCCCGCCCAAACGCATGTTCTATTTCCCAGGTGCAGATTTAGTGCATCTCCGGCGACTGGCCTCGTGGGCATGGAGGAGAACGCATTCCTCAGTGACTTTTTCGGCTGCGTTGGGTTCCTGCCCCTCACCACCGAAAGGTGCAGATCTAACTTTTGGCGGCAAACACTGCAGGGCGCACCGCCGCCGAGAGTACCCCGTATTGTCCTGCATGTTGTCAATGGAGTTTTGGCCGAGGGGGGGGATAGGATTCTCCCGAGCGATCGTAGCTCGTACCCTTACAGCCAATCGTCCAAATCAAGATTTCCGTGCGATTGACTGTTACCGCCAGCCACGTCCGCGAAGCGATGGTGAGTATGATGACCGGCCCAACTGCTCAACAACAGCTGGGCGCTCTGGACGACTCCCCCGATCAAGGCCAGCTCGGCGCCATCTTCACCGAGGACGGTATCACCACGGGAAATCAGCTCTCGACGGGTCCCTCCGCTTGCACCTTTTGGTGTGCCGTTGGTGTGGGGGCCCTTGTGAAGGGAACTCCCGTTGCCTCGGTGAGAACGTGCCGTGTTTTCTTGGCCCACCCTACGCGAGACTAAGCGCCGTCGTTCCCGCATGATGGGCGCTCATCCCTGCGTACCTACTGCTGATTGACCCCCTACCTACAGAGGTCGCCGGTGATACATCGCCCAAGGGGGCACACGAGTGTGCATTTTGGAAGCCCTGGCCCCCGTTCTGTTGGGCGCTCTACTCCAGCGTGATCAAGCCGTTTGGTCTGGTAGAATTTCGTAGCGTTGATAGCCAAACCAATGTATTCTAATACTGTATGGAGGATGGGCTTTCTAGATTCACAGTATGAAACCCATTGAGAATTCCTATATCCTATACAATGACGCATCGTATGTGTGCGCTTGGCCGGTTTATCTGGCGCCAGTCTACACACTTCTGTGTGCGACGCATCTACCAGGGTCACATAGGAGGAAGGTCGCACAGGGTCCATATTTGTTTGGTTGATTACCATGGAGTTCGTTGCCGTAGGTTTTATCGCGGAAAGGGTTCAGCCGCCCTCCCATGTTCCTCATCTATCACATTCATTCACAACCGTTCCGAATCTCCGCTCAAAATCTTCCGATATCCGAACTGGTTCAACTAAGGAGGACGCCTTCCGTGGTCACAACCCAACTGCCGTGAAAAGGGAAAGCATATATTAATCACTAAAATTGACCCAGAAAGTCCCGCCAAACGCGACGTGAGCAACCCCCCCGCAAAAAAAAAAGAAAAACAAGAAGTCCTCATCCAAAACGATTTTTTTTACATGCTGTATGGGACCGAAGTGTATTCGCCGCCGGGGTTGGGTCGGCCTAGGCATTTCTCACACGTGCACCCAAAACAATAAATTGTTGTGTGTCAATGTAGGACCATTGCACAGGAACAACATAAACAGATGCAAACATAAACAGATGCAAACATAAACAAATGACTAATATATCAACATCATCAGATCGGGGGCAGAGGTGGTTAGCGATAAAGCGTATATGAGGAAGACGTACGGCTGATGTTCGTGCCACCTTCCATCATCAGTCCGGCAACAGTCCAGCACACGTCTGGCTGGAATTCTGCCATACCCGCCTTGCTCTCCTCAACTTCAGCCAATATCCTTTCACTGGGTCTTTCGACGATTATTTCCCGGCTTCCTCTCCCGCCCATGTTCGATGGTGCTTTCGGTCTTTGTGTCCGGCTCGATTACACAATGCCATACTGATTCAGATTCAGGCACCGTGTGACAGAGGGGGGTTATTGTTCGTTTACGTGCCCCCTAGCCATGTGCGCGAGATTCCAAGCAAGCTACGACTTTAGTGATCACGATCGAAGGTGGCGGGAAAACTGAAGAAGGGTCCGGGTGCCACTAACTCTGTAGCTGATGCATGACGCAAGACTAGCCACAAAAGCAGATGTAGACTCGGAGTCCAGCGAGGAGGGAAGGGCGGTGAGGAGAGGGAAAGGGGGCGGGGGGTTGGAGAAGACGAGCAAGAAGGGGATGAGGACGAGGGGGAGCAAGAGCAAGAAGAGGAGCCAGAAGTAAGCTCAAGGCGGCCAAAAATGCACCTTGAAACGGCATTTATTTGAAAGTGGTAAGCGGAACGGAACACTCTGCAGAATTGCGAGCTTCTAGTATTGTCCGCGGTTTCCGTCGAGCTTTGGGGTCTTGCACGCGCACAGACGCGTGCTGCTGCTTCTCCAGGCTTTGTAGTTGCATTGAAAATTGATTCGAGGATGTGGTGTGGTTGATGTGGACGGTGTGTGGGTTCTTCACCAGCGCCTTCCTGGTGCAGGCAGGCACATTTTTGAGAAAGTGTTTCACCTGTACAACATCAGGTCAACAGGTTGAAAAAACTGAAGACAACAAAAAAAGGGTAAAGTATATTCATTGATGTGGAGCCCTCCGGGGGGTTACGTAGGTGCGCAGAAAAACTGTCTGCGCACACCCTTGGTAGTAGCAGTACAAATGTCCGATCACTTTTCTGGATCAGATATCCATGCATACAACAGCCTTTCTATCCGTTCGCGACGGCGTCGTACCGAGAAACGGTGAACAAAAATGGAGGAAAAGTGGAGGATCGGAGGCAACCCTGACCAGGGCAATATGTACTACAATAGTCTACAACCGTGATGACATTGATAACGTTCTCTTGCGTCGCCCCCGGCAAGCAAGTCGCCGTGGGGGGGGGCTTTGCCAGCAACAAATTGAACTGAAAATAGTATCATAGGCCACAATCCACATTGTAGAGGGTATGCAATACACGGTGCACTAGGATACAGTATAGTTCACTAAATCAGACCCCCCACTCTCGATTTGGTCCTCATCATCCGAAGTTAGTACGCGAAGGATTCATTCCGTCGCACTACTTGAAAGTGGAGTAGGTGTTTTTTTGTCGTTGTTTTTTTTTCTTGGGCACGCTGCACACCGTTGTGTGAGACTGAATACGACAGCCTTGGACTGCCCCCGACCGCCAAAACGTTTGGCCAACGGAACATGTACTCTATCAAGCTTAAGGTGCATCCCCTTCCATCAGAGTTGGAAGTCGGGTTCCAATCCTTGTTGCTTGCATACGTAGCTTGCCTTCGAGTTATATCTTCGCGAAGTTCATATTGCATTATGTAGTGCCCCCGCATGGGCATCGTTGGAAAAAAAGCGGGTAGGCACGTGTTGGCTAGCCTCTCGAGTGGTGTTGCGGTACTACTCGCGGCGTGGATACTTCAGTCATTCTTCGCGGTGTTGTTTTTTCTTCTGCATGTTTTTTCGGATCCTGCTGCCTCCACGCCGGTATCGGATGGTTCTCACACAAAATACTGTTGCTCTCCACAAAAAACAATATAATTGGGCAAGCTTTCATCACCTTCACATATGTGTTTTCACCATACATTACGCGGTGCCACGCCTTTCCACTCTTACCCGCGCACGGGAGCAAATTCCCATAAGTTTTTCAACTTTGTCGCCGTCTTCATTTGTATCTCCCTTTTCACCGTCGTCATTGAATACTCTCGGGTGCGATTGGGACCCCCGCGCCCCCAGTGGGCGCGGGGGCCGTCCAGTACCCTAGTTATAGTTATGCGCAGTGCTGCAGTACGTAATACGTGTGCCCCCTTGAATCCCCCGCGAAGTTGAACACCTCCACAATGTCTCTCCAAAGGTTACCAACTACTCCCGACTGGCGAGAGGTGCACTGGATGCCTACACCGGCCCTGTGGATGTCGAGGTGGCAAAGTGAGTTACGCGGACAAATTGCAACACGAGGGCACCTTGTACTGGGACCCATGCATTATCTTGTTGTTTTATCAGGTGGCACGTGCTTGTTGGAGGTATTTGTTCTTACTGCTTTTGGCTTTTTTGGCCACGTATATCATTGGACAGAACCCGAGCACTCCATTTGCCTGGCAATGCAATCAAGCCTAGGCACCGAATACCACACAATATGTGACACGCCCTGCACCAGTTTTCTACGGGGCGATTTGTCCTCATCAGTGACGTGGACAATACCGACCGATGCGTACTTGGAGGTGAACTTCCAATGCGACAATTTTGGGCATTGACGCCTCGTTCTTTTGTTGAAGAACCCGAGCATCCCAACTCAGTCCAAGGGGTGGCATCTTGCATGGCACACGGTGGCCTTCCCCTTCGACCCTTATACCGCAACCCTTTTTTTCTCCTCGCGTCAGGGCTTCGGCGATTCTGGGATACTTGCTCGGTTTCATGGGAGAAACGGTGAGCTTGACTCCGGTGCGAGGTACGGCATGTTGATCGTTCTACCCGCGTCGTGCACACGTGGAGCAGCTCCTACCCTTGCAAAGAGGCGATCGCGTAGTCACCGCACTCTTTCCGTTGTCAACGACGCTTCAAATTAAGAATTGGCTACAGTACTCCCACATGTTTTCGCCGCGATGTACGTACGTGTTTCCGTGCTTCAGGCGAAGTATGAAGAGTACATGAAGCTTTCGGCATCCTTCTTGGCCACTGCCATCCAGCAAGGGTCTACTGATATGTTGCCATCGGTGAGTTCGACGCCATTGCCTTTTGTTGAGCTATTGCAAAGTCGGGAGCTGCCTTCCTTGCAAATTGGCTCTACAAAACCGATCGCCACTTGCTCCCCTAAAATCACATACCCCAACAGAACGGTCCATATCCCAATTCCGTTCACTTTCTGTAGGCCTAAATGTTATGGAGGAACAAGAAATAAAAAGGGAAGGGAGCAAGTCGGTTGCTCCTAGCTTCGGGTACTCACAATTGCTGTTTGGTATCTTGTTTTAGCTTTCTTAGACCAGGTCCGCTCAGCGCCCAATCGGAGAGTGAGGGAGCGGGGCTGGGATTTTGATCCTCCTTCAAGCTACTGCATATACCCCTAAACGACGCCAAATATCCCTATCCAACGAAAATTCGAAGTACCCAATAAGCGCTCATACAACGTTCATGAAACTCTCATAGAACGCTTATACACTACTGTAGTTGCTCCATACATAAACCACCAATGTATCAGTAACACCAAGGCTCCTCTGGGGGTAGGCAAGCAAACACTACTGCACCAATGACCTTCGCGAAACTTGTTTGCCATCGGAATAACTGTTGTATTCTGTAGATGGCGCGTGAGCATGCACATTGGTTATGCTTTTTGCTGTAGCATTCAGGGGGTACATGTAGAGTAGCGCTCACCCACGGCGGCGCCCAAACATGCTTTTCGGGGTATTACTACGCCATCTAACACGACTCGATAGTCTTATCCACCCATGCCTTGGGGCTTGCGTCGAGCACGTACGGGTGGGGAGGCTTCGCCGATCGAGAGCTGCTGCCCGAAGACCACTGGTTTGATCGCGTGTGTGATCGGGACGAAGAAGAACTCAGGCCCAACCATCGAGAAATAGTATTTTACCAGGATTTCAACGGTGTGAGGCGTAGCCGCGCTATCCAAGGTTGCCAGAGGTTGAGGTCGACCAGAATGTGGGTGGGAGACGCGCACGTATTGACGGCAGATGGGGCCTCGGGCAGGATCGTTGGTGTGCGTGCAGTAGACTCTAAGCGCCGCCGGCTTAGCAAAGTCGGGTAACGTGTGACAGCTACAGAGCGCGTGAAGCAACGGAAGGACAGCAGCAGCCGCCTAACGCAGTAGCGGCGGCAGTTTAGAAAAGGACGGGACGGGACACGGCGCAAGCATTGGGGAAGTGACCAGCACGCGACTCTCCATATAAAGGTGTGTACTCGTGTCCAACATCCATCGTGTCGGCCGTGTTCCTATTCGCGTCCCGCTACTCTTGGGACCTCATCGCTGCATGCATTTAGCACGAGGGGGGAGGGTGCAGTAAGATAAGCGGCGGCAAGCCACCGCAGTCTCGCTCGCCGCGCCGCTCAGATAGGTCCCTTCCCAAACATGGGATGCGGTTCATCCCAACCGAGACGTACTCTCGCTGAAGAAAAAAAATGCGGTTCGTCCCAACCGAGACGTACTCTCTCTGAAGAAAAAAAATCAACGGCAAAAAGAAAGTGCGGGGCCTGTTGTATGGTCGCACGCTGACTTGTCGCGGTTGATAGCAGCCATTGTACTGCACGGGGTGGAGGAACCCTGCGGCATCGGACATAACCAATCGACCCGCGGCAGTAGGGCATGATGCTGTCACGAGTATGCACATGAGGCAGGTGCCTTGTTTTCTGTTTCCCCCGGCTTACTAGGGACTACTTGCCGGTACAATCTTGTCTGTGCCGCGCACAGAGGGGCATATAGCTGAAGGAATCGACGATAATATGCCCACTCACGTAAGCAATCGTCTCCACGGATGGTATTGACAAGTCCCCACTGATGGTATCGACAAGTCCCATGGCATACAAAGCGGCCGCATACGTAATCGGAAAGTGCATTCAACAGCATTCACGGGAACGGATAAAAGCAAAAACACATGCATGCGAGAGAAAGACTCAAAGAAAAAGACTGAAAAACAAAGAAGACGAGAAAAAAAAAAACGAGACAGCGAACTACGTGCTGTATGCATAAGGAAAAAGAAGATGAGAAAAAAATAGGGGGGGGAGGTGAAAGTGACACGCGAGGTTCGAACTCGCGAGGAACGTCAGGTAGCGGTCCATGTGAGTGCATCACGGTCTCGAGGGGCATCACGTCAAATTTATTGCCGCTGTGACACAAACCTTCTATAAGAATACGTCACGTCCATCGACGATTAAGCGACCAAAAACGCCCGGACAGCAATTGATGCATGCCAAAAACTCGTCAACCTGCCGTGGGATTGTCTATGCGGAAGTGATATCAATGAAAAAAAAAAAACAAGGACACGCACCAGCACGGGACGCGCCAATAGTGGAAGCACTCGTCCGTGCTGTTGGCGAGTGGAAGTTAACCGATCTCAACGCAACGAAACACGAAGTCATACATGTATCAGCACGGGATGCGCCAATGAGTGGAAGCACCCGCGCTGTTGGCGAGTAGAGTTAACCGAATCCAACGCAGCGGTAGAAAAATACCACAAATCATGCATCAGTACGGGACGCGCCAATGAGTGGAAGCACCCGTGCTGCATATGTGATGTCAGCCTCAGCACGGGACGCGCCAATGAGTGGAAGCACTCGTGCTGTTGGTGAGTAGAGTTAACCGATCTCAAAAAGAAAGAACAAAACGCCGTACATGTATCAGCACGGGACGCGCCAATGAGTGGAAGCACCCGCGCTGTTGGCGAGTAGAGTTAACCGAATTCAACGCAGCGGTAGGAAATACCACAAATCATGCATCAGTACGGGACGCGCCAATGAGTGGAAGCACCCGTGCTGCATATGTGATGCCAGCCTCAGCACGGGACGCGCCAATGAGTGGAAGCACTCGTGCTGTTGGTGAGTAGAGTTAACCGATCTCAAAAAGAAAGAACAAAACGCCGTACATGTATCAGCACGGGACGCGCCAATGAGTGGAAGCACCCGCGCTGTTGGCGAGTAGAGTTAACCGAATTCAACGCAGCGGTAGGAAATACCACAAATCATGCATCAGTACGGGACGCGCCAACGAGTGGAAGCACTCGTGCTGTTGGCGAGTAGAGTTAACCGATCTCAAAAAGAAAGAACAAAACGCCGTACACGTATCAGCACGGGACGCGCCAATGAGTGGACGCACCCGTGCTGTTGGCGAGTAGAGTTAACCGAATTCAACGCATCGAAAACGAAGTCGTACACGTATCAGTACGGGACGCGCCAATGAGTGGAAGCACCCGTGCTGCATATGTGTTGTCAGTTTCAGCAAGGGACGCGCCAATGAGTGCTGTTGGCGAGTAGAGTTAACCGATCTCAAAAAGAAAGAACAAAACGCCGTACACGTATCAGCACGGGACGCGCCAATGAGTGGACGCACCCGTGCTGTTGGCGAGTAGAATTAACCGATCTCCACGCATCGAAAACGAAGTCGTACACGTATCAGTACGGGACGCGCCAATGAGTGGAAGCACCCGTGCTGCATATGTGTTGTCAGTTTCAGCAAGGGACGCGCCAATGAGTGCTGTTGGCGAGTAGAGTTAACCGATCTCAAAAAGAAAGAACAAAAACGCCGTACACGTATCAGCACGGGACGCGCCAATGAGTGGACGCACCCGTGCTGTTGGCGAGTAGAATTAACCGATCTCCACGCATCGAAAACGAAGTCATACACGTATCAGTACGGGACGCGCCAATGAGTGGAAGCACCCGTGCTGCATATGTGTTGTCAGTTTCAGCAAGGGACGCGCCAATGAGTGGAAGCACCCGTGCTGCAAATGTGTTGTCAGTTTCAGCGAGGGACGCGCCAATGAGTGGAAGCACCCGCGCTGTTGGCAAGTGGAGTTCACCGTATCCAACGCATCGAAAAAAAAAAAAAACACGTATCAGCACGGGACGCGCCAATGAGTGGAAGCACCCGTGCTGCATATGTGTTGTCAGTTTCAGCGAGGGACGCGCCAATGAGTGGAAGCACCCGCGCTGTTGGCAAGTGGAGTTCACCGTATCCAACGCATCGGAAAAAAAAAACACGTATCAGCACGGGACGCGCCAATGAGTGGAAGCACCCGTGCCGATGGCGAACCGGGGTTCACCGAATCCAAGAAAATATACATATAAAAAAAAAGAAGAGAAACCATCGCTAGTGTTCCAAAGAGAGAAATATTCGGGATTGGTCGACGTCCGGTGACCGTAGCGTCAGCAGCAATAATCACTCCATTCAATCCACAGGCGTCGAGAACGAACTAACGCGAGCTCGCGATATAACAACGCGTCGTTCTGGGCCCGACGAAAACCCACGTCAGATAGTTTCGCCCGAAGATAGGATTTGTAGACCATTCTAACTGCAGATCCAGGCGCGCGATCGACTACGCCCACGATGAAGAGGAAAAGAAGTGTTCCCGCAACGCCGCCCTGACGCTCGCCCGCCGCCTGCCGCCGGTCCGCTGCTTATACGACTCCAACTGCGACCAGATGCCGACACGGGCCTCCACGCGGAGCGGCAGGGCAGCGGCTGGGCAAGCAGGGCGAGGTCGGGCGGCGACACCTTCGACACCACGCACGAGGAGGTCTACCGCGCGATCGGTGGCGAGCTCGACGGCTCGCCCCTCGACGCGCAGCGGATCACGTACTCCCGCGAGGCGTCGAGCGGTATCCTCCTCGCGAGCGCCAGGGACAGGCACCCGCGGCGACCCCCCCGCTGATGAGACTGAGCTCGCTTCTCTCCGCGGGCTGGTGGACGGCCTGAGGGAGGAGCTGCAGCGGAAGCGCGATGAGGCTGCCGGCGATCGCCAGCAGCTTCAAGCAACGATCGACGACCTGATCGCCACCCAAGCAGCAGGACCTGGCCTTCCGGGGGGGGGTGCAACTGGTGGGCACAACCGCCCCACCATCGGCCTCTCGGGCCCCCGCTACACCCAGCGCCGAGGCGGCTAAGGCTACGGCAAAGGATAGAGCGCGGATGTGGGGGGACCTCCGCCGGGTAAAAGCGTGGCTCATCCTGGGGGCGGCCTCCGGCAGTTTCAAAACTGTCGCAGATGGAGTGGCAATCCTTGCTTCGCAAAGGCGTCCTGGTGACAGAGAAAGTGGCGGCATCGCTCGACACGCTCGTGGTTACTGCTTCGCCCTTCAACTCGTCGTCCGGTTGCCATGATCGTAACTGCCCACACATCCACGCCCAGAACCCTTCCCACGCTAGGCGCGGAGCGTCCGAAACTCCGGCAACCGGCGCGCGCGGCGTTGGCCACGGCAACGGGGGAGGGCGCGGAGGAGAGGCGCGCGCCGCTGGCGAGGGCGGCGCGAGACCCAAGGCCGCTGGCTTCTTCACCCACGGGAAAGACAAATAGGGGTGCGGGCTCTCCCGCGTAGCGGGGGGGCCTACCTCGGATGGCAGCGCACCTGCCGCTAAATCGAACGGCAGCACGCCGGTCTACACGAGGTTGGCTCCAGGGCTATCAGCAGGTTCAGGACCTGGGACAGGCAGGACGGGACTTTGTTACCGACGTCTTGGCATGCAGCTTCGTCGAGCACTCAGTTGCGTCTTCGTCTAGAAGGACTTACACGTCAGGCTTCAACTCTTGGTGCACGTTTCGCAGGCTGACGGAGAAGCCCAAGTTCCTAGGGCAACGTGCCGGGGACCTTCATGTGTGGGAGTTGATAGACTTCGTAGCCTGGTGTTTCGAGTCTGAGGGTAATCTAGCGAGTACAATATCCGGAAAACTCACGGCTGTACAACATTTTCATAGGCTGGAAGCTTCTGTCGAGCTAGACTTGTCGTCTCCGATGTTGAAATGTGCGCTAAGGGGGATTGCGAGGAACCACGTGGCTGTGGGGACGGTACGCCGTGTGCGCCTGCCTGTGTCTTGGCGTATGCTGCTGGACGGGGAAAGCGCAAGCCAGAACTGGGGGGAAGGGGGCAGAGTGATGTGGCTGTGTCTGTGCTTGTCCTATCTCTTTATCACACGGTCTGATGAGGTGTTCGCGAATGATGCGGGCAGGATGCATGAGGCACACTGTCTTACGAGGGCGGACGTAGCATTGTTTGCTGGCGAGACGCAATTAGTCTTTAGTCACTATCGTAGAGCAGACGGTGTCGAAATGAGGTTTAGAGGGCACAAGGCCGATCAAGAGCAGAAAGGAAACATACGGGTTCGTACGCGAGACGAAGTCACCGGACCGCAGTCAGGTGTGAGAGCACGCGGCGGCGCGGTGGCTCTTGTGGTGGAGCTGTTATCGTGTCATGCGACGTTCCCTGACTCCGCACCGTTGGCTTCGTACCGCAGTGGAAGAGCAGTGAGAGTAGTGAGGTATACTGCTGCCCTCCGTGCACTCAGAGAAGTGGTAGCGAAGTCGGGGCGTAACCCCCAGGAGTACGCGTTGCACTCGTTGCGAATTGGAGGCGCGACGGCTCTTGCATCGGGCGGAGACATCGCAGAACGAGTGATTCAGAGAGAAGGAAAGTGGAGGTCGGATGCATACAAGCCGTACGCGCTAAACAATGTAGAGGATTCGCGGCGAGTGTCACGGAAACTTACAGACGGCAGTAGGATCGTATCGAGACAGCCGGGGGAGGGGACCGTCTGGGGGAACGGATAGTTGACTTATTCGGTAGTCGTCCAGAAACTGACCTCGATGTGGGTGTTGTAGAATGGTGTGTACCATTTGAGAACTTGGTCAGTTTTGGGACTCCTGCGTTTGCAGTCGTAGTCCCCCGGCTAGTATTTGTGGGGAGAGAGATGGATTTGTAAGAGTTGACGCCGGCCTTTGCAGCTAACGCGGCCGGAGAGACGATGAGCGTTTCGTGCGTCTCTCTCCCCAACACGTAGCCTAGAAACCGAAGAAATAATGAAGCAATTCGAAAGAAAACAAAATAAAAGGAAGGTTTGTTCGTCGAAGCAGATAGAATAAACTGGTGTTTATTTTGTAACAGTCGAATTAGAATTTGGCTTCATTTTCTACCGGAAACCCAGGGTCACGGTGTTTGGAATTATTAGTCTATAGTTGGGGGTGTCATTGCGTGATCGAGTCCACGCAGGGGCTGTAGCAAAGTCGGGTAACGTGTGACAGCTACAGAGCGCGTGAAGCAACGGAAGGACAGCAGCAGCCGCCTAACGCAGTAGCGGCGGCAGTTTAGAAAATCCCGCCCTCCCATCCCTTTTCTTTCGAAGGTGGGGGCATAAGTTCGGGAATATTCGGTATCTAGTCAGGTGTTGTAGAATGGTGTGTACCATTTGAGAACTTGGTCAGTTTTGGGACTCCTGCGTTTGCAGTCGTAGTCCCCCGGCTAGTATTTGTGGGGAGAGAGATGGATTTGTAAGAGTTGACGCCGGCCTTTGCAGCTAACGCGGCCGGAGAGACGATGAGCGTTTCGTGCGTCTCTCTCCCCAACACGTAGCCTAGAAACCGGAGAAATAATGAAGCAATTCGAAAGAAAACAAAATAAACGACGCCAAATATCCCTATCCAACGAAAATTCGAAGTACCCAATAAGCGCTCATACAACGTTCATGAAACTCTCATAGAACGCTTATACACTACTGTAGTTGCTCCATACATAAACCACCAATGTATCAGTAACACCAAGGCTCCTCTGGGGGTAGGCAAGCAAACACTACTGCACCAATGACCTTCGCGAAACTTGTTTGCCATCGGAATAACTGTTGTATTCTGTAGATGGCGCGTGAGCATGCACATTGGTTATGCTTTTTGCTGTAGCATTCAGGGGGTACATGTAGAGTAGCGCTCACCCACGGCGGCGCCCAAACATGCTTTTCGGGGTATTACTACGCCATCTAACACGACTCGATAGTCTTATCCACCCATGCCTTGGGGCTTGCGTCGAGCACGTACGGGTGGGGAGGCTTCGCCGATCGAGAGCTGCTGCCCGAAGACCACTGGTTTGATCGCGTGTGTGATCGGGACGAAGAAGAACTCAGGCCCAACCATCGAGAAATAGTATTTTACCAGGATTTCAACGGTGTGAGGCGTAGCCGCGCTATCCAAGGTTGCCAGAGGTTGAGGTCGACCAGAATGTGGGTGGGAGACGCGCACGTATTGACGGCAGATGGGGCCTCGGGCAGGATCGTTGGTGTGCGTGCAGTAGACTCTAAGCGCCGCCGGCTTTCCATAATTTAGGGTGAGGTTGTTGCCGTCCTACGCCCAAATCGAACTATCCCATATGCCGCAAGCCATGGGCGCAAACATCTTCTTGAATCTGTGCAAGACCATCTCGGGGATATCATCCCGGCAGCTCCTTTGCGAAACTACCGAAGGATTCGCAGAGGTGGATTGATATGCTCTGTAGCTGCAGAATCGCACTGCTCAGGCGTAGCTATCCCGATCACGGCGCTAGCGTCGCCCAGTCGCTCGATGCCGATCAACCATCCGACGACGGCAAAACGTTGTTCGTCGCCGAATTGCCAGAATGACGGAGCAATGGAGATAGAGTGCGGTGTAGTCTGACCAATCTCTACCGTAGTACTGTCTTATAGGGGAGCGGGCCAGTGCTGTTTCGTTCACATCGCTTTTTCTGTTATCTTTGATTGTTGCGGTGCGTATCTCCTAAACACATGCATCTTGGCCAGGGATTCGCTGAGATGATCGATCAGACGAATGTCCAGGCGTACTCTGGAGATGTAGACACTCCGGATATCCAATCTTTGGCCGCCGGACATCAACGTCAACCTCGTCCGCAGGTGTGTCCTGTACCACATAGCTGGATCTCAGCCAAGACATCAAACGAGCCACTGCGGTTGCCCTGGTCCTAGCGTGTATGCTTGGAATCGCCTATCATCCGAGTTTGAGCGGTGGTCTATTATTGCGGAATTTGTCTGCTCTACCCTGCTTGCTTTGCGGGGTCAGCATATTTTCAATGTTCTGCGCTCAATTTCTGGCACCTTTCTTATCTTTCTCTGTTTGCACTATCCCTTCGTTGCGAACTGGGTTGGAGAGTGCTGAAGAGGGTGTGCTGGGTAAGAATTAGAAATTTGGTCGTGTGAAGCCAACACCACTAGCAGTAACAACGACAACCGAAAACAGCAATGGTTGCTTGCTGTACCCTTGACCTTTAACGCGACTTTGTCGGAACCTCAAGGTGACATGCCCTTGGCACATTGGCACAAGGCCTGCCCCCTTGGCGATATGTCGACGTGCATCACTCTGGCGTGTCAGGGAGTCGAGGATTATGGTAGTGTTGTGCAGTTGTGTATGCTACAAGATCTGCACTTCCACCCTCTTCTGCTGTTCCGAATGACCCAGATCAACCCAGCTGCATGCGAAGGGGACATGTATCGGTATGTTACCCAGTCGATTATTGCATTTACGCAACTTGCCTTGGAGAGAGCTTGCGAGGACACTGTGATGATCAGGCCCTCGAGCGATGACGAGCCTTGCGAGGAGGACAGGGGCGATATTAAGCCGCACGGCAACGCTCCCCAGGCGGAAGAGGTGTCTGGTGCTATGGTGGCTGGGCTCAAAGATAACCTGATCGCGTTCGAACACCTACAAGAAGCAGCTGATCGGTGAGAAACTTTCAACCTTGCTTGACGGATCGCTTTCAAATGTTTACGACGTCTCGAAACCATATCCATATGGACGACACAAAATGCACGTTCTGCACCTCAACTGTCGGTTCACCCCTGGTGCCGCAAGTGATGGTATCAGCATAGAGTTGCTGCATTCTTACACGCGCCCTTATTTCCCTTTCCCCTCGCGGCCGGCCGTCAACTGTTTGGCGAGCAGACCAAACATTCGCACGGGCATCGGCGGTCTCCTCATTAGCATGTAAGTAAATCCAAAACAACGTGCTCCCCATTGTCGAAAACACGAAAGGTGCTGTGTTCTTCGCGTGTCATCCTTCAGGCTCCGTTGAGCTATGACCACTACCATATTTGCACAGCCACACGAATTCTTGGGTATTGGTGAGAAGGTGTAATACTAACTTTTACCGAACGATGACCCACGGCATGCTGAATGTTGATTGTCAACATCTCTACAATGACGGCATCCGCATTTGACAGGACCTTGGCCTTTCAAAAAGCAGCGAACGGGGACGCTGGTGGGGCGATGGAGAGGTTCGGATATTGCGTCGAGGTGTTCGAGCTGTACCCTGGGCTGTGTCGCTGCATGATGAATTGGTGAGCCGGGGCATGAACATCACCAACTGGTATCGCAAAGGGGCTGCCAATCGTGGTGGGGGCGAGTTCTGAGAAGCTGCGCCGTGAGTCTGTTCGACAAGAAGAACATTGCTGAACAATTCAATATTGGTTGTTCAATATGAAGACTTGTGAGGACGTTTTCCTGGTACGATCTTGACTGCTGGTTCCGTGGGACTGGCCGAAGGAAATCATGACGTTCGTGCAAAGTGTGTCAATGGTCTATGGGATGTGATTTGTTGATACACTCTCATGCTCTCATTTTACTGCCCCGCTCGTATCCCCCGCCACGTAACAAGGGGTCACATGCCACACGGTGTCCTGGCAGCCCTAGCAGCGATTGACGATTCCAGAGCTCGAGCACTGTATGGTCGGTTACGGGACGTGTACAATCCGTCCCATTCCTCTACCTCTCTGCCAGCGCCACATTGGGAGGAGTGGCGTGGGATGCCTGCATTCTGCGATACATTCCAGTGCAGGTGCGTGGGGGGACGCGAGCGATGACCTAATACTTCGAAGTATGACATGTGCACAAGGGTTCGTCGAAACATATCACCAGCACCAAGGCGTATTGTTTTTGGGGACACGCGTGTCGGAAAATCACAAACAACGACGGAAACACTCCTACATGCGTAACAGTGAACGATGGCATCGTCTAGCCCGTAAAATGTAACCTCTTCGTCGTTGATCAGCCTGAAATCTTCATTTATTAAGGGTGCACTCATTGTTGTTTTGGGCAAGGATTTCCCCGGACTCCCACAGTTTCAGTTCGCCGGGCGGGAATATTTTATAGAGATGGACGGTGTCCTGGGAGTGGGTCAGAAGGGTCGACCGTTTCGTTCTGTCAGAACCACCAGCACGAGTTTCGATCGGCAAACGATTCCGTTTGTCGATCTCGTTAATATTTTCTCAGGCGAACAGCTTGCTAGAGATTGTGTATGAATTTTGAATATATGCCAACGGATATACCTGATTGACCACTATACAACAACATCGCTTTGCCAAATTACACACAAATTGCTCGAGGCCAATACGCCCTCGGAAGCTCGGGGAGGTAGCGAAGAAGGGAGACGCGCACAACTTGCTAGATGGACGAATTGACTCAAGCCTTGTGTTTGGTATGAACACCCAAGAGGTGTGTAGAATACAGTTGTTGGTGATGGTGCCTGCACAATGCCATTGGCTGCTGTCGGCACCTCCAATCTCTTCTCCAAACTCAGGGAAGTGAGCTTCTGTGATCAAAACTTTTCACAAATTGACATCCGGGTGAAAACAAATCCGAAGACACGCGGAGAGATTCCTGCAATTTGCGACGAGACGAAGTAAAAGGACCAGCAGATCAGGGCATGGGAAAGCAGACTATGTACAAATGAGGCAGAGCCCATTGGTCCACGCGGAAGCTGAGCCTCAAACAAATGACACAAGGGGTACATCCTTTCACGCGGTCCGGTGTTCTCCCAGATCGCGGCGACATGTTTGCTCGAGCGCTGGACGAGGATCTTGATGTGGCACTCCATCCCAAATCCAACTTGATGCCATTTGTATCATGATGTCCAACCCTCGCCCGCGCCGGCTCCCGCTGGCTCGTCATGACTTCCTTTGCAGTTTATATGGGGGTATGATCACGACTATCGCGGGTCAAGGCTTGAACGTCTTCTCCAACCTGTCCCACGACACTGGCGACTACACCGGGTCACAACGGACTAATTGCACGGACGACCATCTACAACCTGTCGGTGAGGAAAACAAGAGCAACAACATGTCGGCGTGTGTCACTCCCGAGAACGCGACTGGCTCGATCATGGATGCCCCCTGCAGCAACAGCGACAAATCAATGGCGTCTACGAGCTCGTGGGAATCGCACCAAGAGCCCGCCCCACAAATAAGCCGGCCTCCTCGATCGAGCTCGTCTACCTCACACGTCCGCCGTGGATTGGGCAGGGTAGGCGTAAGTGGTACTGAAGTTCTCAACAGTGCGGTCGACGGGAGTGATGGTGATTATGTCCTATCTGGGTTGGAGACCCGTGTTCCCGATGCATGTTCGACATCGCCGGAGTTGAGAGAGGTAGATGGCGTTCCAGAGGAGGCCGAGGATGACATTGTTGCCGCAGCAGACTGGCTAGATGTTACTCATTCCATGTTGGCTGCACTTGATGGCAATCTTTGAATTTCGCTACCTAATTTGGTTGCTTGTGCCAAACGTTGATGGAGGTTACGGCTTTTGAGTTTGTATGACAGCGGTATTTCGAACGTGGGCTATTTGCCCTTGTTGGTAGAACAACCGTACACATCAGATGTTTCTTTAGCACGAAGCGGGATGCCGAAAAAACGCCACAGTCGTTGAAACCGACGAAGCGATCCCGCTCCGACAACAAGGACACGAAGAAACGCCCCAGACGGTCATGCCCGCGAAGCAGGCCCGCAAACCAAAGGGCCATGTGAATAAGTCCTCGGTAATCTAGCGAAAGGTAATAATAACAACTGTGTTTCGCGGGTGTCCGTAGTTTATTGTTGTTGGGGCAAAGTCGGACAATTCAGGGTCGTGTGCTGTTCACCTCCCCTCCCTGCCCGCTAGACTCAGCTTCAACTGCTTTGCAGTGTTGGCAACATATGTATGTGTCATCACGTGTGCTGCTGCCTAGCCCCACACGTCGTGCACCGAGTACTTTAGAGACACGTACGATACACACGATACGGTGTATCGAGAGTTATCGCTGAAAGGAGGGGGGGCAGGAGATCTATGCGCTTCAAACCAGCGAACTTTTGTCGGTGTTCTATCACGGAAACTCTGCGAACACGCTGTAGGTCATACGTCGGGCTTCTACGAAAGTCCAGGGTCGCATTATTGGGTTTTCTTGTACCCCACAACCACAGAGCCTAGCAGGGGTACAAGCAAACAAATTCAGGCGCTTGTTATTTTTTCCCTCTTTGGTCATCGTTGATTTTTATTAAAGTGAGATCTGTTCTTGTTCCGGTGTCGAGCGGGAGCAATGGGCTCTCTTTCTTTCTCCTACTTTTTAATTTTTTCTTATCTTTGCCTACGCGCCCGTGCCCCGGTTTGTTTGTTGCCATGTGCTGTGTATGACGATTATTTCAATATTTCCTGAGGCCTTTGTTATTTCTGTTTTGAGATATTCAAGTATGCTGTACCCTTTGCGGTAGCTGGTATGCACAATGGTGCAGAAAAATGTTTCTTTGTCGGCTCTCTTGTTATTTTGGTGTCGTGCAGTCTGCCTCGCGAATTGCTCAAAGCCACGCCTGTTCGGTCTTCGAGAAAGTTCTAAATAGCTGTCATCTGGTGTGGTGCAGGTCATCATCTGTTTTGACACAGGGCCGACGTGGTTTGTCGACAATCGAGGAAGTCTTGCAAAGATCAATTCCCCCGCAACATTCCACGGATTCCACGGAAAATCATTTTGAGAAAATCTTCGCCGAACAACATTCGGACGGATCTTTCATAATATTGCTTCAACGACGTAAATCACCGCTGGAACCTATTAAAACAGACGTACAGTAGTGGTTGGCGCTCTGCAGACACATCGATGATTGATCCCACTTTTCTCGAAAAACGAACATGTACTGAAGTTCGGAGTCATTCAGTTCGTGAGGCAGAATGAAAAGAAAGGTATTCGGCGAATGAAAATCGAAATTATTTTTTCGCCGTTGTTGGTACATTTTTCCGCGCCGCGTCCATCTCGGCCACATCCACCAGTTCAGACCCTACTACTCTCTTTCCCTCTTCTCCTGGCAGAGAGGTGCAGAGTTTGTTCGGCTCGAAACGCGCGCCGGACTACAGTCCCGCTGCGTGTGTCTGTGCTTCGTGGGCGAGCGTACAATTGTGAGAGGTATGTGTGCAGATGAAAGGGAGAGAAGTTGTTGTGTTCACAAATATAAAACCGTTCTGATCGTTCCATCCAGTACCTACCATGTTTGTCCGTATGTACGAATCTACAGTAACATCATACGCCGTCCGTTCCCGTGGCCATGTAGCTATTGAACGGTAGCAGGCCTACCGGTAGTTTTGTACGGAGGAGCGCAATTTCGACTCTCTCGGAATTGTGATACTCCCATGTCGTGAACGCTGGCTCGCGTCCGCGTGGTGCGGGGTTGGTTCCAAGGTGTATCGAGTTCTTCGGCGTTATCGACTACCTGATTATTTTCGATTTGTCGCAAATGTGTAGATGGTGTGTGTGCACATGTGCATGTTATTTTTCCGCTCCGGGCGGACAAAATACATGCATCGGGTCTATGTTTTTCGGGAGAACTTCCTCGTCCCTCTTTGCACATGGAAGGATGTCGGTGGGATTTCTCAACATACGCACGCACCACGTAGGGCCGTCGACGTGCTGTAGTTAGGAGACATACCACTCGGCTACGAGAATAGAGCAAAGACAGATGATAAACGCTGCCTGGAGCAATACATCGAAAACCGAAAAAACAGCGCAACTAAACCCACCGAACAAATGGTTGCACCAGCTCTCAGCAGAGTATGCGTTATGACGTCTGACGCGTTCCGGAAAAAAATATTTCACCTAATGTGAAGACAACAACAACAACAACAACCCTATCAGATAAAATTAGACCATCCAGTCAACGGTTGACTGATCAGATGGTCTAATTTTGACTGATCAGATGGTCTAATTTTATCTAATAAACCCTGTGTGAACAGCGTACGCAAGCAACACACCGGTGGCCAATTGGCTTCCCTGGTTCCCTTGTTTCGAGCTCGTTTGTATTTTTCTTCCGTTGGACAACTTATAGACTAAAATTGCCGGAACGTCATCAACCGACATGAACAATTAGAAGAGGTGATTGGCTGCGGATGGAAATGCCTACAGCCAGTTCGCCCGGATTGTTCTATTGTCTGAAAAGAGAACCCCAGCGGGGGGCTTGTACGCTATTATCCCAGGTATCCATCCCCATTCTCTACCTTTTTCATCATGCCCCAAGTACCTCCAGTGCTACTCATATTTCACATCAGTCGCT